TATTTATTCAAATACTTGTTACTAACTGAAGGAATTAAATGAAATTTCAGCAGCCTTTTTCATTTTGGAGTGTCTCACTTTTTGCAGAAATTATACCTGCACCCCATCCAACGCGGCAAGATTTGTATAGATCTGCTGGGGCCATTATTTAACACTCTTGACACTAGAAATGACACTCAAAGGTTTCTGTTTAATTAACACTTGAGTCATCTTCAAATGAAATTGACAAACGTGCTAAAGACTCAGTTCAGGAAAGAGTTTTACTAGATAGTAAAAAAACAGTTTAACAGTATTATAGAAACTGTCAATATGCTTGAATATAAGACAAATAAAAAAAAAGGGTAGTACTGGAGGGAATGACTTAATTTTTGTTATGTTCGATTTTTCCTTACAAACACCACCAAAACTGTTATTGTTTGCAGTCTGCACTGACAGGTAGCAGGGACTTGGATAAATTAACCATTTACTTCAAAACAGGTGTTTTTACCTTTAATTTTTATTATTATGTGTAGTAGAGTTGGTAGGATTGGTTTTGGAAGAACTCATTTCTCATTGAAAACATCACATGACAAGGCTGAAGGTAATGAATATGTGGACATTCTAGTCTGATCACATGCATAATAGGACGGCATGAACCAGGGGACACACCACTAGTTATTCCGGCTGCACTCGCATCTTTCTGCACGGACCTGTTTCCAGACTAGACAGCAAGCGAATTCTAGAATTTACAAAACCGTTTTTTTTTTTGGTGATCCAGGCAGGGGCCCATTTCAGGACAGCTGAAATGTCACAAAACAATACTCTGAAAGGACACCGTGCAAATTCTGAACCCAGCTTCGAAGAATGGCTGCAGTCCCAGGCTGCAAAGAGTCTCACTCCTGGCCTTGCTTCTTTGCAGTGGAGCCCGGGGCCCCTTGGGAAAGCAGTTTCGCCTGGCTCCAAATTGAAAGCTGAGGCTTCAGGTGATCAAGCTGAGCTAATCCAAATAGTCCAAACCAAGCTGTACCGTCGCCGCTGGGTCATGCTTTTTCTCCTGTGTGCAGTTTCTGCTAACAATGCCTCTATGTGGCTCCAGTACGGCATCATTAGTAACATTTTCATTCGCTTCTACAATGTTGATGCCTTGGCCATCGACTGGTTGTCCATGATCTACCTGCTCACCTACATACAACTTATTCTTCCAGTCCTCTGGCTGCTGAACAACAGAGGGATCCGGGATGTTGTTCTTGTCGGGTCAGCATTTAACTGCATCGGTAGCTGGATTAAGATTGCTGGTGCCAGTCCTGACGGGTTCCTGGTGACCTTTTTTGGACAGTTTGTATGCTCAGTAGCCACAGTGTTTTTTCTTGGTATTCCTCCATATGTTGCTTCTGTGTGGTTTGGAGAAAATGAAGTTTCAACTGCTTGCTCCATTGGGGTTCTGGGAAATCAGGTTTGTTTGAAAAAAAAAGGAAACTGATAAAAATAAGCTTTGTGCCAAATTTGGTTTAGATGTTTTATTTGAGCTTTATTGTGCATTTTATAGAGAGCATAATAGAGTTATTAATTAGTTTGAGAAAATGAAACCAATTGGTGTGCTTTTCTAGTACTGAAGTCTAATCATTAAAGCAAATAGCCATTTGGTTACGTATTAACGTTTTTCACAGGTTTTTGAGTAAATAAAAACAAAATTTCCAAATGTACATTCATCTAAAGGAATTAGGAGACACACCTAAACATTCAGTTCTTTAAAGAAAAATGTGGGCTTATTGATGTCTACTCCTGTCTTTATTTGTCCCTGAAAAGGAAAATAATAGAATTGCAGGTTAACACCACGGTTCTGAGATACTAGTATGGGTAATAAATCTCATGTACAATTCTTTTCCTTCCTGATAAGTTTTTTTTTTTAATCTCACTTAAGTTTCTTAATAAAAATGACATACTATACTGCTTTCAAAAACTGCCTTTTGTTTTGATCATTTATTTTGGGATGTGAGCTATATTTTAAAGGGCAACAAAATTCTAGCCATGAAAAACAATCATATTTCACTAAATGTTCCCAGCAAGTGGTGTCACACAGTGAGCAAGTTTATCAGTTATGAGATACATAATCGATATTCTTGTTACACAAAATACACAAGTAAGAATGTATTCTAACAGAGAAAGAGGTTAAGACACTTGACACCTAAAAAATAATGCCACCACCTTTCTCTAAAAAATGAGGCCCATCTTGATTCTCCACCCTATGCCTAAGGGCCCTCTACAGCAGCGTGCAAAGGAAGTTCAACTCTTTTTTTTCTAATTACAGAAGAAGTCAGATTTATTAGTTGAATTGGATATTGCTTTCAATTTCATCATGGTGTTCACTTTCATTTCAACATTCTGGAGCATACCAAGCTAAATATATCAGGTTTGAAAATTGCAATGGTCCTTTTAATTGCTAAGTAATGAAGCATAAATTGTGTACTTTAGCTGTGATGTGCCTGAGTGAATACATTTCAGGGTGTTCTTATTAGTAAGTCAATATTTTAATTACGTTGTACAGAAAGATCTAATGTCTTTCTACAATTTAGATTTTTGATTTGCATTATTTTCCAGTATTTTGACAATTTCTACATAGAAATATCACCTAATTTACAATAAGGTTGCATGTTTTCATTTTTAAAGTTTATTCTAATTCTTTGTTACCTCGTTCATCAACACAGCTGGGTTGTGCCATTGGTTTCCTCTTACCTCCAATCCTGGTGCCTAACGTAAATGACATGGACGAGCTGGCGAACCACATCCGAAACATGTTCTACATAACAGCAGGAGTGGCAACATTTCTCTTCATCCTTGTTGTCTTTGGTAAGATGAATCTTCTGCATTAAAGTCCACTCACTAGTTTTTTTTATTTAGAATTATTAAAATAGTAAATATGTGTGGAATATGATTGCATCCACCCAGTTGTATTTGAAAGATGTAAGCTGCAGCCGTTTGGACTTTTACTGAAAATTATGCTCCTAAAAATGTGTTAAGATGCTTCATCATTTTTTTATTGACACATGACTCATTTGCAAGATCATACTTTAGAGTTTTTTATTTTTTATTGTGAACCCCAACTCTAAACCTTCCTTCCTTCCTTCCTTCCTTCCTTCCTTCCTTCCTTCCTTCCTTCCTTCCTTCCTTCCTTCCTTCCTTCCTTTTAGAGATATCGGGGTAAAGATATAAGCACAGCACAGATTTTAGATGGTTTTAACTGTAAAAAGTGAAAAAAATAAATATTTTCTCTCTTTCTACTTTAAAGTTAGGGACAACTTTGTGTTGAGTTGTTATAAAAAATCATAATAAAAAAAAACAAACAGAAAATTTTGGTTGTAATGCAGACAAATTGTGAAAAAAGTTTAAGAAGCACAAGACTAGAGGTGAAAAAAAACCTTATAGAACAGCTTGGAGAGAAAAACAGGCCCATACTTGGTGTATGATGATCCCTAGCGCTTTTAATCCCCTGTTTTACAGACACTATGATATAAAATGCAAAATTAACATTTGGATATATTAATTTACCTCCTTAGTTTTGTGATAGCAGAGTTTAAGGTTAAATTTAAACTTTTTGCATGTTTAGTCAGCGTAAAGGATAACAAGATATTTACAGGCTGTTAAATTCTGAATCTTTGTAATGATTAATTTTATTAAATGTGATGTTACTAAACATTAAAGCTATTTTTTATTGGTGCATGGATTAATAAGTAAATTTCCAGTCATGGATTCAAGTTCTCTGAAGAAAGGCTTTATAATTTTAGCTGGTCCTGTTTTTCGAGCAGAGCTCAGACAGTTAGAGGCGTATTGTGAGAGTTTCTCCTTGTCGTGGCTAATGGGGATTCTTCATTCAGCAAATCTTTGCAGTAATGGTTTTAATTTCCACACTCTGACTGAAAGCCTTATTCAACAGATGGGAAACCCCCCCCCCCCAAAAAAAAAAACAATGACATGTGGCTAAACATTGGGAGATTCACATAAATGCACATTGTAGTTTTAGTCCAGTCAGGCAGACATTCCTTTCCTGGACAGAAATCAACAGTATTATTTTATCACAGCAGGGTTTGTCACTGATACATCAGGAACAAAGAACATATGGCTACAGGAATATTCAGCACATTGTAGTAAAAGGGAAGTGGCGTGACTTTTGATAATGCACAGGATGCATGATGTTTGGAAAAGTGCTAACATGCAGTGACCTTTTAAATTCTCTAGAACATGCGTTTTTTTTTTACTTCCTACTTTAACATTTTTATCTAGCTGTAAAACCTTTCTAGAACTGACTTAAATTGATTGACATCACTATTTGAGTCACCAAGATCTAACTTCTGCAGCATGTTTAAGGACATTAAATTAATGACACAGCAGAAAATAGAAAACTTTTTTTTTAATATAGTAGAGGAAAACATTGAATGAGAATCGCCTTCTGTGAGCAGAGAAAGGGTGGGAGCACCCGCAAGCGCTCGAGCATTCCTTAAAACAAAAGGATGTTTGTGAAGGCATTCTATGTTGTACCATGCACAACATGTCAAATAAACACTGTTAGTGTTAACTTGTGTTGATAGCCTCCTGTTGAGATTAACTGCAAACTTCAGCTAATTTCTTCAACATGTGACCAGCTCAAAGACGCATCACATGCATTTTTTAAATCTCACTACTTCAAATGCATGGTTAATAGCTGCAAAACTTTTGACAAAGTAACATATGTTAGTTAAACAGATCTTTTTTATGCAACTTTATGTAATAAGGTGATAGCTGTTCAGTAGAATGTTTTATAAAAATGAAAACCTAAAACCTAACTAAAAAAAACATTGATTGCAGAATTTTTTATGTCAGCAATGTTAAAAGTATTCTGTCCAGTTTGTTTAAGACTGTTTTTCTTTCTTTTCTTGTCTCAAAGTTATATAACGATGCTGAAGAAACTGCATAATCTTAAAACTTTGCCTTTTGAAATCAGGTCACGTTTCCATGGCTTAACTCTTTTAGTGAGAGGACTTTTGCATAGCAGTGCACTAAGCTTAAGAAACATTGCTTAGTCTAGCATTAAGACAGGGGAACTGTGTGTGTGTTTGCGTGGGTGTTAGCTCAGTTCTAGCATTTCACAATTTAAAAATTGTCTACTAACTGACAAGTGGTACTTTTGTTTCTGTATCTATTTTGATTTGGTTTTAATTTTGACAAATTTGCCAAAAAGCAAGTTAGCTGGAGACAAGCTTGACTAGTGGTTAATAATATGAATGGATGAATGGGTGGATGGATGGATGGATGGATGGATTGAAGAATGGATGGATAGATTAATGGAAGATTAATAAATTGATGGATGGATGGATGATGGTTGGATGGATAGTTGGGAGAAAGGATAGATAGATGAATGGATGGATTGATTGATGGATGGAGGGATGGATGGATAGATGGATCAATGAATGGATGGTTGGATGGATAGATGGATCAATGAATGGATGGTTGGATGGATAGATGGATCAATGAATGGATGGATGGATGGATGAATTGATGGATGGTTGGATGGATGGATGGATGAATGGATGGTTGGATGGATGGATTGATGAATAGATGGTTGAATGGGTGGGATGATGGATGAATCGAATAATGGATGATGGATGGGTGGATGATGGATGGATAGATGGATGCATGAATGGATGGATGGATGGACGGATGAATGAATGGATGGCTGAATGGATGGATGACTGAATGGATGGATGGATGGATGGATGGATGGATGGATGGATGGATGGATGGATGGTTAGGGGTTCCATCAGAATGAAGCAACCATGAAACGGACTGCATTTTAAACCAGCTGCCAGAGTGGATAAGTTTGAAGCCGCTTCCAATATAATCTCACAATTGGCTAAAACTGGATGTAGCCTAAAACTACCTATGCTCTGTCTTTATCAAATTGTCCATAGATGGGTTAGCTCTGTATCTTTTGCAGACACTCTCTTAAAAACAGGCTGACACCTTTGACAGGTCGCCACTCCATCACAAAGCAATACAGACACATTCATGGCAAACAGTTAACGGAAATTTAGAGTAACAATTTAAAGCATTAGTCATATCTTTTTTTGTCAAAAAAATGAGAGGTAATGGAGAGTGGGGAAAGTTTCAACATGTAGCAGTTGCAACATTGTAAAATTAACCTTACGCATTGAGCACATGCTGAGTAATGTCCTCTTTATTCCTACAAGACAGGAGACACATCCCATTATTCCTTTAGGGAGAACTGAAAATATGGGTAGAAAGTGATGTTTTTAATTATTGTTTTTTTGTGATTGTATCTACACTGTCTGTATAAATAACTTTACAATTATTTAGTCTGGAACAGCAGTTCCCATGCTTCTAACAGGCATAGACACCTTGAGGCAAAACCAATTTATTAAGCAAGCATAGCTAGTTTAAAGGGGTTAGTTAGGGTGAGGGACAGCTAGCTGTCTAGGTTTTTATCAAATTGTTCTTCAAGGGTTTACCCGAGTTGCAGGATACATATCCTACATGTTTTCTACTGTACCCCCCCCCCAAGTATGCTACAATACAGGAAAATGATAAATAGTGAAGAAAAAATGTTGAATAAGCCAATAAGTGAAAAAAGGGGCATGAAAACTGAGTTTTATACGTTAATAACTTGTTGTTGCAACTGTTCCCTTGACGTTGGATGTTGCAACGGTCGCCAATCTCTGTTTAACCACATTATAGTGTTACATCAGGTTCTAAAATCATGCTCTTGTATGGGTTTGTAAAAGAAAAGATGTGACTTTTGCTGTGTTCACATATTTTTATTCAATTATAAATAAACACTGAGATATTGAAGGAAAAGTAAGAACTGTTGCAGCCAACCCCATTCTCCCCTACTCAGAGATCATGCAAAGGAGATGTGCTGTAAGGAACAAGCCCAGGCCCCACTTTAAACATAATATTTTAAAACAAACAAAATATAAAGAAAAATTAGCGACAAAAAAAACACCAAAACAAAACAAAAAGCTCAGATAATCTAAAAAGCAATACCATGCTAAGCTAGAGATATAAGATAAGCTAAAGTAATATCTTTGCTTCGTTTTACTTTTGACATCACAGTCATGACGGTGGTGTTTAATTACAAGAATAAAAACTTTTTTTCTCCAAAAAAGAGCTACAAAAACGCTTATAGTGATATAAACTAAGCTAAACTGAGTGCAAGAAAGCATGTTAAGATAAATATCTGAAAGGAAAATGTAAATAAATTTAACTTAAAGAAGTTAAGAAGCTAAGCTCAGCTAAAATGTTTAATGTAGTTTAAACAAAAAACTTAAAAAAAAAACAAAATTTCTTAATAATAATCTAATTATATGCTAATTCATTTTCTTTTCACTTGATGTGTTTAACTAGTTTAGTTTTTTTTTCTATTACTTAAAAATAGACTTAAAAATATCCTGAGTATTTCAAGACATTTCAGAGTTTCTGATTTTCTTCATTCATTCAAATAATAACACAAAAATGCATAAGCCACACTTGGATCTCTTCATTACTTTAAAGGGTAATTATATTCCAGCCAGTTTCATCATATGACACATACACATCACACATTCACACTTCAATGCAAAATGCCATGTGTGAGGGCTGTCCTGCTGGGAGGGCCATCTGTAGCCCAGCAACAGTCCTGTGAGTCAGCAGGGCAGACAAAGTCCTGCAAACGAGAAATTTGCATAAACTGTTAATGGAGGTGAGAGAACAAGTTCGACTGCTGCACTAGTTAGTAAAATGGCAACGGCCACACATGCATGTAAAAATAAACAGCTTGTTTTAAAAAAACCTATACTTTGTGAACTTTTATTGTGGTTTTTTTTTCCCTTCAGATATTAGTTACATTAATCTGAGTGGTAATTCTCCACCAAAATGAGTCCTACTATATATTTGAAAAAAATTTCTTTATAGTTTGTGGATAGTTACTGGTTACTTAGACCTTCCAAAGAAAAAAGATGTTCAAGAAATGCAGTGACACACAACTGTGGGGGCAGGTTATCTAGAAGAGAGGAGAGGACCACAAAAGCAGCAACAGCTGATAAAAGCTCCCAGAGCGGGAAAGTTTGAAGCCTCCCCCTGCAGCTGCTAGTGGCATTGCCAGAAAACCTGGTGTGTTTGCTCATGCTGGCCATGTCCACCAATATGCATGTGTTGAAATAAAGAAGTGCTAACAGAGTTTGAATCGTTTTTTCAGGATCTGTTTTAGAGGATATTAATTTTTTTAACTTCTTTTATAGATTTTACAACTACACATCTTGCTTTTCTGTCGTCGGTCCATGCAACTACCTATCTCTCTCCTGCTTTCATTTGTACTTTGGGCTCTTCTTCCTTCATTCTTCCTTCACTAGCTCCTCTGGCTTTAGGTGCTTTCATTTTTACACCCAGTGATTGAATATATGTTGGCTTTATCAATTTTTTTTTAAATATATGTGAATTTATAAGTATAAATAAAGCGATAAACACACCAACTCAACTAAAATGGGAAAAATTTAATATGTTTCAATATCAGATAATAATAAAAAATGATTTTTTTTTTTTTTTTATAAATGTTTACTCAACTCTTTTAACAAGTGTCTGTACATATTTGTAGTTGACTGTACCTCACCTTTTTTATTTCTCCACATATATCAGTTTTCCAAGAGCGTCCGAAGCTTCCTCCGACTCTGGCGCAGGCCTCAGCTCTCACAATCCCAGCGGAGGAGTACTCCTATAGGGCATCTATCCTCAGGTTGCTCCGAAACAAGCCCTTTGTTCTCCTCATCATCAGTTATGGTCAGTCAAATGCTTTCCTCTGGTTCATGCAAAATAAAGCTACTAATCATTTCTGCACTATACTGCATTTATTATTTGACTGTTAAAAATTTATATTGTTTTTTTTCCATAACATAAATTGTTTCTGCAAGAAAATCAACATGAACTGTGCATATGACCTTTTTGGGTCAACACTGACATCACTACAGTAAAGGGTTTTCCCAGTAAGCCTGTGGTTTCGTTTATTGTCTGACAAGTAAAGGAGGGGTTGGCCCTCGATACTTAACTAGTTGTTACATCTTATCAGCATGTCATGCATGAATGCATACACACATTCATTAGTTATTGGAATCTCCACTGAGATCTTCCTGGATTGGTAGTTTGCTGCTGCTAATGTTGGGTTTCACCAACATGACTGAAATATTGATAAGTCATGATTGTTCAATTATTAGAGCACCAAGAATACATTTAATTTCCAACACATTGAGTGAATCATTTGAAAACGACTGTTTTGAGATAATATTTCACAACAATATATATATATATATATATATATATATATATATATATATATATATATATATATATATATATATATATATATATATATATATATATATATATATAATCTGCCCTTTAATCATCAGAAATTTGTTTGTCCTCTAAAAAATACATTAAGTCTTACATTTTTCTGTGTTTTTCACTTTCATTTTAAGTAATTGATTTTTTTGGTTTTAATCTTCCTCATTTTGCTTTCATATGAAACAATAACTGGACAAAAGTTTAGAGCGTCAGCCATCAGTCATTGGTTGTGGGTCTTCTTGTCCTTTTCCCTTATGCAAATAAACCTTAGGGCTACAATTCAATGGACGCAGCTGCCTTCGCTCGTCTCTGTCACTTTACTCAACACATGCTGTTTTTTCTTATCGTTCAGCTGGATTCTAACTCTTTATTTGTGAAATATTCACAATTCATTGTCATTATTATTAGAAACCTTTTTTATAATTTGTGATTTAATGATTGATCTTAAAAAAAGATAACAGCTACCGGTAGTTATGTGTTGATTGCCAAACATGTTACAGTTTAATACACTTAACAATTCTTAGAGAAATAAAGGGGAAACTTGATATATTTATGTTTAATTAATACATTTCTTTTTAATAGAATGGAATAGAATAAAAAAAATCCTTTTATTGTCCCACAATGGGGAAATTCTGGTATTTACAGCAACATAAAGATTATAGACACAATGGTCACACTAATGTGGACCTTTTTCTCTATAATCTTTGCTTTAGCAACACATTATTATTATTATTATTATTTTGTTTTTATTTTTTTTTTTATAATAAAAAAAAAAGCAACACATTATAACTTTTAGCCACTAGGGGCGCTGTAGCTATAATTTCCATTTGAACCTCTTAAATTACAAAGGTAAGTTTTTTTTTTGTAGGGCAGCCTTCAAACAGCATCAGTTGGCACCAAGTTATGTGTATTGGCCTGAAAAAATAAATTAGTATATCTCAAATCAAGCTAACACTTAGGTCAAACATTATGATTAAGGTTATTTGGATTCTAAACATGTTTAAATTAATTGAATATATAGCTGAATAATAAACATAAAAAAGTTTCCCAAAATTTTGATTTTTTTTTGACTTAGAACATCTTCTAGAAAAAAACTTCATGTTCAGATGCCTAATCTGAACTTCTTGAGCTAGACTTTGTATTAATGTATTTTAAATACATTTTTAGGAATTGATTTGATTAGTTTCTCGTAGTGTGTTTTTTGTATAATATAAACATAATATATTGAGTTTTTTAATTTACTTTATCTGATATCGAATTTACATCAGGACTAATTTGCTGATGTTTAACTTTTATTTTACATTCTTACTAACTGTGAAATCAATGTCATTGGGTGATGCTATGGAGCAGATGATTGGTCTGCAGCCGACCACTACTACTTCATCAATGACTGTAGCATGAAATAGATGCTAGATTAAAGATATAAAGTTCTAAACAATGAAATCGGGCCACATTTAAATAATTTTTCTCAGTTTGTTTTATCTGTTTTTAATCAAACTAATAAATTTAAAGTTTTTACATTTATAGAATAGTGTTTATTCATTGGATTGTGGTAGTTTAAGCACTCAATACTTGAGAAGTGGTGTGTCTGGTTGTCCAAAGTAAAGTTTTTGATAATCGGGTTAAATAAATAAATATTCCGCTGTCTTCTCACAGGTCTGAATGTGGGTTGTTATTACGCTGTTGGAACTCTGCTGAACCGCATGATCCTCAAGCATCACCCTGTAAGTACAAATTCCATTCCCAGCTATCTCTGACTCAGACATGATTGTTTTTAGAGCTGCACTGATCGATCTAGCCAATGATGGGAGTCGATCATTTTTCCCTCGGCTTGCTAATTTATTTCTGTAAACTTAAGAATTCAAAACTGAAAGCTGTCCCTTTTCTCAGCTGACTGTTTCAAACAGCTGTAGTATATCTATTGAATATTATACTTCAATTGCAATTTACTTACTAAAACAGGGCTACTCTCTAATTTATTGGATAAGCCAGTGCATTGTTTTCTCAGGAAGTATTTCAACTGATCTGGTTCATAATAAAAAGAAAAAGAGAAAAAAAAAGAAAAAGCATGGATTTGTTTACTTAAATGTCAATAATGTCACAAAAACTTCCAGGAAATCTGCGAACTGATAGGACAAGTATGGATTTAAAACCACAGACATCATAGGAAAAAAGACTAATCTATAATTTCGTCCAGGTTAGCTTACTGCCTTATGTTAAAATCAGCTTCCTTTCACTCCTCCCTATTAAACACTGGTAAAAGGTCTAGAAGTCTCTCGTTATACAGAGTTGCATGAACATCTGCGCCGGGCTCTGTACAGCTTATTTTATGTGATTATCTCTTTGTTGCTCGTTTAGACCTTGAGATAACCTGCTCTTGTCATGTTTCTTGTTTGGCGATCTGACAGGACCAAGAAGTGAACGCTGGGAGGATTGGGCTCACCATTGTCATTGCAGGGATGGTGGGCTCCCTCATCTGTGGAGTCTGGCTGGACAGGAGTAAGACGTACAAGTGAGTCAATGGGAGGGAAACAGAAAGGAGGAAGTTGAACGTGTTGAATTAAAAACTCTGTCATTAAAAGGAAATAAATAATATCTCTAACATGCAATCACACTTTTTTAAATTGTGGTTTAAGACATTTTTGCATTTTTCAAAATCCGAAACTCAGTTTTGCAGTTAGGCAGCAACACAAACTGTTTTGTTATTACTGTCGGTTCCCTCCTCTCTTCTTCTTTAGTGTTTATCTGTAGGCTGTTTGGTCTAAGCGGTTGTTTAACCAGGTGCAGCATGCTTTTTTAACAGTGACCCCTCTGATCGTCCTCAAGGGCCCTCAGCCTGTGCTGACTCCCATGATTCTCAGCTGTTTTACTTTCAGGAGCCATATTCTGCAAATATGATGATGCAGAAGGATTATTTCCCATATTTTTAAAAACCTGCTAAACACGATAAGATTGGTTGTTTGATTAGCATGGGAAAGGTTCAACTGTTTTGCTTTTTGTTGTCCAGTAATTCTGCTCTAGCTGCAGGTGATTATTAACTTTAGCTCTGGCCTTTAAAAGACAAACACACAGCTTTGCAATGTAGGTGAACCACCTGAGGCTGTAAGAGTGGGTGCAGCTCACCTTTCCTGTAAAGGAAATACCCAAAATGCCTCACTGACGCTGAAAACTTTGTCTGAAACCTGTTGAACCAAAGAAAAGTTTTCACTGATTTTAGCAGCTCCCTGTCAGCCCTGCTGTGTGGCGTCCCTCCAAGCATTAAACTATAAATCATCTGGAAAAGTTGCAGGTTTCAGTCCTTGCGGTGAAACACACCACAGCATGGATGTTAGAGTGCCATGCCCTCACATTTTTTGATGTAGAAGAAATCCTGTGGGTGTTCAGATGGTTTGGTCAGCTTTGAGTCCTTATGGGTATAATTTAAATATAATAAAACAAAGTTATTCCTTAGAAAAGTAAAAACAACAACAAACAAAATCAACAACGTACCCCTACTTTTTTGTTCTGAAAATATTTCTATTTATTTAAGAGATAAGGTGAAAAACATTTCCCCTGCCTTTTAAATTTCTCATATTTTACATGTGTTTTTTTTTTTTTTTTGCTTTGTTTATTTACAGGCAAACTACTCTTGCTGTGTACATCATGACGCTAGTGGGGATGATCATATACACTGCAACACTCGGCCAGAAATACCTCTGGGTGGTGTTTATCACTGCGGGAGCTCTTGGGTATTTTTATGTTATATCTACTTTACTACTTATGAAAACCATTAAAATAGTGACTAGAAACATCTGGTGTATGAGTTGTGTTGACATCAGACTGCATAAACTGGTAAATGCATAAAATACCTTTATTTTATATATGGCTTGATTTTTTTTTAGAAAAATCAAAGCCTAAATATTATTTTTAAAATGATTCTTAAATAAGATTGTAAAACAGTGAAATGCCTTGAATGTTGAGCTTTTCTAATATTATTGAAGAATCTATAAGCATGATGGTATAAGCATTTAATATCAGCCAATTACAATAATTATTGATCAGTTTTTTTGTTTTATCTATTTAATATAAGGTTAAAAAAACAGAATTTAAAATGTAACCCTATTTAAAGGTAACCTTTATCCTTTAGAAAGAGGTCAGACCTCTTTGCCAAGAGAGCTTAAGAGAATAAATCCTTTTTTTTGCCCTCCCTCATCCAGAATGCTGTGTGGTGTTGGATCAGAGTTCAGTGAAATCGTATCTCGTCCTATCTGACGTATTTCCTCCTGATATTGATCAGTTGTCTGTTTTAATATGTATTGTTATTGTTTTACTGCCTAGCATTGCTTTAAAGTGACATTTTTCTCTACTACCTTCTCAATAAATCCCAACGTGTTTGATGCACAATAGATTTAGATACTTTTATTCAACTGAAAATGTTGCATACTTCTAGAAATGAGGATAAAATCCAAAAAGAAGGATCCCTTTTGAAACATGTGTAATTTAACTCCCATTTTACTAGAAATGTGTATGTCAAACATGATTTATATCTCTTTTAACAACCAGTGGAAAAAATTACATCTTCATGTTTCCACTGATTATTGCTTTTTTTCGAGGGATGAGCTCCAGGAGTTTAAGGTTAAAATGTCTCCCTTTAATAATTTTTAAGTAATAATGACTCAGATTTTTTATCAGGTTAAATCCTGGACTCTGGGTGGATCATCCGAAAATATTTATATTACTTTTACTCAAAGGAAATTTTATTGGATTTAAATATTATTTTAAACCTCTCAGAGTGCATATATTAAAAAATAATAATTAAATGTAAAAAAAACAATATCATATACTTTTATTCTCTGAAAGAATAAAAGGAGAAATAGGACAATGAAAGTAAATTACAAAAAATATTGTCATATAAAAATGATAAAATAAATTAATTTGAATTAGGAAAAAATATTTTCTTTTGAGGAATAATAAGAAGGGTGAATTTTTTTTTTAATCCAAAGAATTTTAGCCTTTAGTACAACTATTAAAAGATTCTATACATTTATTATATCAGGTAAATATGTAGAATAAATTAGTACTTTCTGTATTATCTAAGAAAATATTTTTAGATTTAATGGCCATTTCAATACATATACTTTTTTGGGTTGTTTCATTCTAATATTCTGATATTATTAAATTTGTGAAACATGGTCATTGTGAATTATTTAGTCTAAACATGGATGCAATTTACCCATATTTTGAAACGTAAAAAAATATTATATAACAATATATTTCTGTTTTCTTATATGAATATGTATATACATATAAATAAAACCAAAGCTCAGCATGTCTGTTCTTTTAATTCCTCATAATAAGATCAGAATATTTGTCTAAAAAGAAAATTTAATCTGGAAGGCAATACAGTGTATGTTTTATTTTGGAACAGCTGTAGTGTAAGAACACTTTTACTTTCTGCCTCTACTGCTGAGGGAAATAAACATCTTGCAGTTTCTAATAAAAGTGTCTGATGCCAAAACTTTGCTGTAAGATCTGACATGCCCACTGCCATAAAGCTATACCAAAGATTACAGGGCATTTACTAGGTGCAAAGTTTTCTTCCACATGTCAAGTATTGTGAACAGCTAAGCAACTATGCAATGATGTTATTCTGAGGTTGTATACAAAAATATTATCAGCTTGATAAATCAGACTGCAGATGGTTTTCTGTGCTGAATCTAATCTGTGCATGTTTGTGGCCCCAGGTTCTTCATGACAGGCTACCTACCTCTGGGTTTCGAGTTTGCAGCTGAATTGACGTATCCAGAGTGCGAGGGAACTTCCTCAGGGTTGCTGAACTGTTCAGCGCAGGTAGAACTGTGACTCCTGAAAGTTCACTATAAGAGCATTAAAAACAATATATAGAGAGAAAACAAAAGAGAATCTAATTAATTCAAGAGTACCACTTAATTTGTTTTTTGTTAAGTGATTCAAGCAGGTCTATATTTATGTTTTGTGGTGACTTAGATGTTTTCTGTGAAGCTGCTAATGGATTTATTTTCCGGACACGCAGGTGTTTGGCATCATATTTACCATCTGCCAAGGGAAAATCATTGACAAGTTTGGCACCTTGGAAGGAAACATTTTCCTCTGTGTGTTTCTACTAATAGGCTCAATAATGACAGGTATGATCTGTTTACCACATTAATACAAGTGTGGAGTCATTTCAAGCTATTGCTGTTAAGTCATTCATACAGAAGTGTGCAACACTGATCTTTTCCTTTCTCTAGCTCTGTTACTGTTTTACTAGATCCTGTTTGGAAGGTGGTACAGTACATTCCAAGAATGTTGCTCATTGCTTCTGTGTATTTTCACACTGTAAAAGGTCACATTTTAGGAAACAAATAAATATTTTACAGCATAATGGCAGCTCTCTTTAATCCAGAACACTACACAGAGACCAGTGTTTTCCTCAGGGATTGGAGTATTAGAAAAAGTATATATAGAAATGTGTATGAAAATGAAAATAAACTGTTTCCTGACCCTGTAATCCTTTTAAACAGCAAAAGTTATATATATATATATATATATATATATATATATATATATATATATATATATATATATATATATATATATATATATATATATATATTTGATTTTTTTTTTGATTAAACAATTAAGTTAAATAAACAGAGCAAAAGATAAAGTTATTATGTATTAACTGTTCTTCGTAAATAGTTGGTAAAATCAGTGGCAGTGCTAAACATGTAGGTAGGGTCATTTAAACCATCTGCTGTCAAATAAAATAGAAGTGAAACACTGGATAAATA